ACAAATTTTAAATTATAATATTAAATTTTGAATCATTATTAATATATCATGATAAATCTATATAATAAGATACTTAATTTAATCATTAAAGATGATATAAAATTTCAATTATATATTATAATTATTGAAAATCAAGTTTTTAAATAACTTGTTCCATTTTTTGTTTGGGAGGGGTGGTGAGTAAAAAGTAATAGATCCCATGGGTAGACCGTAGAATCAGCCCTGGAACTACTAAGGTCAAAACCAACCTTATCAGAGTAAGTTCATATTTCAAAATACTTGGAACCAATCCTTACTAAGTAGGTGCCTTAGAACCAAACTGAGATGACCCATGCTCACCCAAAAAAAAAGAAAAACAAAAAAGTGTCATTCTACAATTTACAAATCCACCGCTCTAAGATTGTGGAAGACAAGAAAGACGGAAAGAGATAAGATTGGTGCCTAGAGAGCATGCCCCACAGGCACCTCACATGCACATCTCAGTGTGCATTGGAAACATTTCTCGTAATTGTCATGGGGAGATATTCCCAATACACGGATGGGATGGGCTATGGGACATGCTAAAGGTTCAAAGTATTAACACATATCAGGCCATATTGGCCAATAAATATCGTATCGGGAACTTCTCGATATGCCCCTATAGGCTACAGAGGGTGTATCGGGGTTTTGACCCTTTCAGGGGGTGGATGGACCTTAAATTGGCCCCTCTGAGCCAAATTAAAAAAAAAAAAAAAACTATCAATATTGCCCAATACACCTCTAATGACATATCGTGTGTATCGATATTTTGAACATTGAATGTGCTATATGAGGGCATTGATGCTATTTCGACAAAAGCAATTGACTGACATAGACAAGTGAAAATGAATTACAACATTCATCAATTTGCATGCCATTGATCTCCAATTTCCAATTGCAAAAGGAAATGTTGGTGAAAAGATAGGTTTTTTTTTTTTTACTAAAACAACATTACTAATTTACTATTATAAAAATGTATTTACACCCCACTAGGCCACTACGAGTCCAGAAACGCGGGCGGATGGCCCCCCAAAATATATCAGATTTACAGTACTTGGCCTCCCTAGCAAGTAGCAACCATATGGGCAGGCATATTAATAGTTCTATTGACATATTGAATATTAGAAAATAAAAAACTTAAACAAACCAACAACTTTGTCCATTAATAATATACAAGACCAAGAAAAACTTCCAAAATCAGCTAAATCTAGAGCATTAACCGAGATAGAGCAGTCCCAAAGGATAATCACAGACAAAAAATCCTTCCAGATCGCCCATGGTCCGTCAGACTTATAACGAACAAAACCAAAAGTACCCAGATTAGCATCAACAGTACCTCCATCACAAAATATATAACAACCGATCACGTTCAGAGATTGTACCGTACCAAAATAAGATCCCTGAAACCTAGTCCGTTGATGAGGCTCAAAAGATCTCAAATAGGTTTTAAAAACCACCAATTGTGCCGGGTAGTGGTAAACGGTCCAAAGAGAAAGATTGAGATCTAAAAAAAATACATTATTCCTAGAAATCCAGATGTAGTAACACGCGATTGCCAATCAAGCAATAACTTTAACTCTTTCCAAATCTTCATCCAAAAAGTTCTATAATTCCACGGAGAGGAAAACCACAAAACTTTTGCCACTGGGCATTCAGAAAACAAATGAAGCACATTCTCATCACACAAAACACAAATTTGAACACTTAAATCCACGATCCACAACAAGAGAGGCAACAGGAACAAAATTCCTAATAACTCACCATAAAAATAATTTATATCTAGTGGGAACTTTCAGCTACCACACCTTTTTAATTAATTTTTCTCTATGAGAAGGAAGCCGAAATTCCCTTCTTTTTCCAAATTGAAATGTAGGCATTCTTAACAGAAAGGGATTCGTTCCTTGCAAGTTTCCAACAAAAATTATCCAACTGAATATTCCTAAAAATATGCACATTTAAAACAAAAGGGACCCAATTTTCTCTCAAAATGTTAATCACACACAGGGGTGGCAATTGGGCAGGTTGGTTTGAGTTGAGTTTCAACCCAATCCATCTAACCCGTCAATCCATTAATGAACCAGTTATATAAAATTAAATGGGTTGGGTTCAACCTAAATCCACTTTAACCCAATCCAATCCGCCCAAACCCATTAATCTTATATTTATGGACTTAAAAAATAAACGCTATCTCTCTCTCTTAACAAATAAGTTGGTTGTAGCTTGGTGGTTATTGTAGTTATTATTTACATAAGTGGTGAAGGTTCAAATCACATTACATGCATGTTATTTTTACACAAGCGGCAAAGCCATTTGATTATGTTTGGAATCCGGGTTTGAATGAACCACTTAGGTTCAAACCGGTCAGACCAAATTAAACCACTTAGGTTCAAGGGTGGTTGAATTGTTTTAATTTGGATCAATCCGGTCGGACCGGACTGGACCCGTTCAGTCAATGGTGGATTGACTTGGATTGGACCATATCAGGTTTGTGCATGAGGTTGGGACCGGACTAGTTAACCCGAAGTGGGTTAATGTAGCTAAATCGGGTCGGTTTGTGTGGATATTGGTCGGCTGGACGGTCTAGATCGGGCAAAGCATGCAGAGGCCGAATCATCCTGTCCAAAGCCGTTTTGGGTTCGGGTCGACCCTGGATCGACTTGTACCGGGTTGGGTCGATGTGTGTGAATATTAGTTGGATCGGATGGCCCAAATTGGACAAAGCAAGCGGCACTGAACCATCCCGCCTAGGGTCTATTGCGGATTCGGGTCGACCAATATCAGTATATATTAGATCGGGCCAGATCGAGTTGAATTGGTCTGGGCTCGGGTCAAATTGATTTTGATTTATGTTGGGTGAAGTGTATTGATTCAAGACAAAACTAAATTTAGTCAATTATTAATATAAAATTAATACATTAATTATAAATTATTTAATTTAAATGAAGAAAATAAAAAAAAGGCTAAAGAATTAATACTTATATCTATAATAGTTAACCCAATGGTTATCCACAACCCAACCCATTTAAATGGATAGGTTGGGTGATGGGTTGATCACACAACCCGCCAAGTAAATGGACGGATTGGGTACTGGGTGGATTGGGTGGATGTTAAAAATTGCCATCTCTAATCACACGATCATTCCAATTTCCTCCAGAGCCATTAAATCACTGAACAAAATATTACTCACTTGTCTATTGTTTGGCCCCAGAGGAGCAGAGGATTGATTAACAACTATAATCCAAGAACATTCCAGACAGAAAAATTCATATTCACTTTAAAATTTCGATCGGGCTTCAAAACAGGAATAGATTTATAAATATTTATCCAGATCCTTGAACTGTTAGAGGATTTGAAAAAATACAATGAGGATGAACATACTTATTTCTTAATAACCTTACCCACAATTTATGATCATGATTGAGAAAAACCCAAGCCAATTTTAACCGAAAAGCTTCATTAATTTCACCACTTTCCTAATTCCCAAACTACCATAAGATTCGAGAGAGCAGATCTGATACCAATTAGTCCACTTAAAACCATTAGATTTCCTCCCAAAATACCACTAGAACTTCCTCTGAATTTTATCAAAATTTTCAATAAAACTATTAGGAAAAGAAACCACTACCATAGCATGATTGGGAATAGATTGCAAAGTAGACTTCAGAAGGAACAATTTACCGGCTTGGGATAAATTAGATGCCTTTCACCCATTTAATTTGGACTGAAACTTATCAAAAATATAAATTAAAAAAAGTGCTCAAACTTTTATTCCACAAAAGAGTAACACCAAGATATTTAGAATGAAACTCCAAGTTATTCATCTTTAATTGTCTAGTTAATAATTTCCTATATTTATGGTGCAGATTATTACTAAAATAAGTTCCTGATTTCTGATAATCAATAACTTAACGAGAAAAGTCCTGGATTATTTCAAATTTGCAACAGATTATGAATTTTATCTCTAAATGCTTTAACAAATAGAAACACATCATCAACAAACAAAAGATGAGAAATTGAAAGAGTTGCCCTAGCTATTTTAAGCCCATGGATCCTGCCTAACTCATCTTCCTTAACCAACAAGTGAGAAAGAACTTCCATACCCAATATAAAAAGTTATACTTTGTCTTAAACTTCTAAAAGGAAAAATAAAACCTTCCACATAACCATTAATTATAAAAATAAAACCTTATTTTAGGTTTTGATTAGAAAATCAAATAGTATCATTCACGATCAAAAATAAAATTTCATAATGTTAAATTTGAAAAGAAATTCTCAATTTGGAAAGAGTGCAATTATAAATATGTATGATATATTTATAAAATTAACCTATTCCTTTATCTATCTATTTATGTATAATAATAATTTCTAAACCTTGTATTCGTCCTGTACATATTTGTATTTAATGCCGAAATAACCAATCAACAATACTCATCAGAATTCGTGGGTGGTGTAAAACAAGATTTTGAAAACTGATGGGAAGGAAACCGCTTTGACCACCGATTTTCACCTTGTCAAGTGATTCAAACATTTTAATTATATATCTCATCATACACATTGGATTGGAATATTAGAGTACGGTGGAATATAAATGTTACGAGAAAGGGGCATGAAAACAACAGTGAAAGGAGGGTCTATGACGTCTGACGTCTGTCGGCTGAGAGAAGGGAAAAGAGGAGGAGGAGGAGGGTCTATGACATGATCTCTAGATTTCTCTCATCTATCATCTTTCTCTCGATCTCAGATCTAATATCGATTTTGCTTCTCTCTGTTTTTCTATTCTTTTTTGTTATTTTATTTTTAAAAATTTAAATAAAACATATTGGATTACAAACCGTTGCCCGAGTCAAACGGTTCAACGGTCAGACCGTCCGAGTCAACGGCGATCCGAAAAGGGTAAAAATCCGCAGGTGCGTATTACACACTCCGCTTAAGTTAACAGAAAGCGTAGGGGAATATCAGTCAAAGGAAAACGAAATGGCGGTAAAGCTTTACCATAACTCCGGTCTCCGGCTGTGTGGATGCCAACAACTGCTTAAACAAAACCGTCAAGTTTACGGTCTTAATTAGACCAACAAAATGCTTTCGCCTGAACAAAACGACGAGGGAGGGCTGTGAAGTGTGAAGTACGCCTATCTGCAACTCCTCTCCCCTGTTCAATGGCCTCTATCTCTCTTTCTTCGTTCTGCTCATCTCAGAGACCGGCATATCTGTTTCTCGATTCGAATTCCACGGATCGGTCGCGGTTCGGGTCATTTTCTCTGCGATTCCGGTCGATAAAGAAATCAAGAGTCAGACTTTCTATGTGCAAGGCTGCTTCTGTTGTCTTCCGTGACCTCGATGCCGACGATTTTCGCCATCCTCTCGATAAGCAGGTGATTGATACCCGAATTTGCATTCCATTAAAAATAACATCGAAAATTTTGTTTCATTAATTTTGGTTTCTCTGGATGTTTTTGGTGTTTATTTACCACTACCGTTCTCATCTGGCTATAATTTTCCTGAGACTTATTTGTTTATGATCGTGTTATCGTATGTCTACTGTATCCGCAGTTTCCGCAATTTCTGATTTATGTTTCTGATTTTTTTTTTCCAGAACACATTGCTTTTGCGGGCAATTCCAGGTCTTAATGAACTTGGCAAAGTTCTTTTAGGTAATAACAATTAAGATGCCTATAATCTCTGCAGCTCATCACCAAGTATGTTTTTCTTCTTGGTATATAGTTTTGTTCAGTTTTCATGTTTATAAAAAGATTAATAAATACTAGTTAGTGCAAGTAATGTTAAATGCTGGAATGCTTGCGTATGAATTTGTCATTCAATTGACACTATGCCATATTTGTTAAAAGAACCTCAATAATTGCATTTCACGTTACAGTATTAAGAAAGGGTTCACCTGCACCTCTATTCCAAATTAGAGACATACTTTTACATTCAACGTGCTGTAAAAGATTCATTACACACGTATTAACAAGATACTTGAACATACAGTTAGGGTGAACAACTTGTGACCACATTCTGTGCCTTGTTGCAGAGGTGTCCCTGGTCATGTGTTTAATATGAACTATGGACTTGCCTTACCAGTCTCTTTTCACGTGATTTTGAGGACTATTTTATGAATAGGGTAGCAACTTCTTAGATAAATTCCTAACATGATAAACATGTTTGCATATGGAGTATTCCTTAACTTACAAATACCAAGACTTTGTTGAATAGTTTACTCGATAACATGACTTGCTTTTTTATTCATATATAATTTCCAGATCCCACCTTTCAACCTACAAAATCTTTTGGAGTCAAGGACATTACAATGCATAAGATACTTAATATGCGAAAGTATTGTATCTTTGTTAAATAGTATGCTCTTAGGTGGAATGCTCCATCAGTCATACATTGGAGTTAAGAGGATGATGGCTTCCATCTAGGGCTGCAAACGGATCAGATTAAACTCGGATAGGGGTATATCCGAATATGATCTGAAAAGAATCCAAGAGATCTAAATTTGATTTGATATTCGACAAATATCTAAAACATAGATTTGATTTGATTCGTTTGCATATGTGGATATCTGGTTCGATTAAAATGTCAATAATTTTTTTACAAAATTAGTATACATTTATAAAATTATATATAAATAGAAATATATACCATGAATAAAAAATAGTTTATCCAAATCATAAATTATAAAGAACTTTAATACTAAAGTATATGTCATTAGACATAAATCTCAACCATTTAGAGGGATTTCTTGGGGGGATTTGGACAGAAATCTCAATTATTTCCTTCTTTCATCAGCCTTAGACCACCCCCGGCCTGTCACTAGTCCTACTTTTGAGTTCTTGCTAAATTTTGATGGTAACTGTCAAGCAGATTCCAACTGCAGCGTCTGGCTGGGATTGGTGGTCTCATCACTAATTCATCAGGGGCTGCTTTATGGGATTACGATGGACTGATTGGTTCTACAGATGCTGCTGAATCTGAAGTTTGAGCTCGGTTGGATTAAGGGTGGCTGCCTCCAGTCATTTCAGCCATTCAGCAATGGAGAGTGACTCATGGATAGCTATTGGGTGGGTCTCCAATCTGGAGGTTGGTCCTTGGAGACTGGACCACGTGCTGAATGAAATCTGTGATTGCTCAGCTCTCCTCCATTTCTCCTTCATATGGATTCCTAGGGAACTGAATACTTTGGCTGATTCCTTAGCTATAAATGGGGTTGATAGGGACTGTATAGCACTAGCGCTATGCCTTTGTAATATCTGGCCTTCTGAGCTTCTGCTTTTTGTACATCCTCTCATTTACATCCCCTTTTTTGGATCCATTAGGGTATGTACACACACACAGATCAAGCATTATCTGAGTCTGCTCCGATTAATAAACAGATTATATTTTCAGATCTGATTAAAGCTAAACAGATATCTCAATCCGACTTAATAAATTCAGATTTGAATTCAAATCAGATTAAATCCGATAATTTGCAGCCCTGCTTCTATCCCTTTTTGTAGTATGTGTAACATGCACTTGGTCTAGCATAGTAAATGGGATATTCCCTAATCAGCATGCTGGATTTCTGGGAGAGAAGAGTTCAAAGGTGTATTCATGAATTTTATTTTGAGTGGTTGTGAAACTATAACTGTGTATGGAGTCTATGGACTCTGCAGACTATTGTATACTGAACTTTCAAGTGGGCACTGCTCCAGACGGTGGGTGATCAAACTCAATTCTGATGACAGTGCATTGGGAACCCTGGTCTTTCCAGCAGTAGCATCTTAAGAAATCACAAAGGCAACATCCTCATGGGTTTTTTGCATTTGGTGGGAAAAGGAATTTTCCTTAGAGATCAGATGCTTGCTCTCATACACAAGGGTTAAAGTTGGCTAATTCATCTGGCCAGAGTGGTCTTGTAGTTGAAGGTGACTGCTGAGTTGTAATTAAGTGGATGTCTGTGGCAATGGATGGACTTTGGGCTTTCAGGTTCCTAGTTAGAGTAGCTGAGTCTATAGCCAATTCCTTGAACCATTCGCTCAGTTGGACCCCCGGATTAGCTAGCACCTAAGCAGTTGGACTTGCAAGAGAAGGAGCTAGTAGATAGGACCTGCTATGGTGAGTACTAGGGCCTGGGTAACACCTACAGGGATAATACATAGACTGTTAGCTATTCTCACACTCTTTCTTTTATCAGTGTTTGCTTTTCTATATCTTTTGTACTGCTTCCAGTTGTGAGAATATCTTAACAGCAGGGGTATTCCTTGTTCATTAAAGTAATAAAAAAGAAGGGCTCTTTCTCCTCATTACATCAATAAAAATCTTTCAGTGTTAATAATAGAGAAGCCTTAATCAGCGCTGTATATTAAAATGATGTTATTGGTGCACATCTACTCTAAGAAACTACAAAACATTATTTCTTTCATACAATGGAATAAGTTCCCTAGGGAGCTAGATGTTGACAGGTGTTTGACTTGAAATGTGCCTCAACCTAACTATGTGATAACTTTCATTTCTTGAAGATAAATATGTCAACATTTAGGGGTCATTTGTTTAAGCTTTTGTGCATTTGTTATCCTAAGTACAATGGGAGAAATAGTGCAAAGATACTATCATTGAAAAACAACTACATTTTGCTTCATAAATAATTTGAAAAATAAAAGAACTTTTATGCGTCCAATAGCACTTCTTAGTTGACTTTAGAATTCATCTCCAACCACCCTCCACAAAATAAAAATTGCATCATAAAGACATTTGCTCCAAATCTCATCTAAATGACCACTAGTCGCCTTTATTATGAGATACTTTTGTATTTGGAGTGAGAATGTCGTCCTGCCTGCATGATTTCAGAATCTATTGAGGTTTACTGAAGCAACCCATGTGAATATATTGTCATTGCAGGAACTGTTACGGAGCAGGTCATGCTTCTTGAGAATATAGGGACATCTGTTCTTGTTGGTGAAAATCAGGTTATTCAATGCTTCTGGCATAAAAGAAGATTTATGATAAAGATAAATATCAATGTTTTTTTTTTTTTTTTTTAATTTTATACTTTTGCACCTCTTTGAATTATGCAAACATCACAGGTAGACCTATTGTTTTGATAGGTATCTTAATGTACAAATCCATGTAAGATGCCCTCTTAATGTAAAAATCCATATAACGCGTACTTTGAACAGTTTATGAGTTTCCTTTTTGTATATTAAAATTTGATCTACTGACAACTGTTGTAAATATGGTGTGGATGGTTTTGTAGCTGAACATTCAGCTACCACACCTAGAACAAGGGGGGCAGGCATCTGATTAGTGGTCAATCAAGCATATTTGATGCAGTGAATTTTTGTGTTCTAAAACCCAATATCTAATGTATGCAAAATTCCTAGTACTTTGCTACTACTTGTCGACTTTGGCACTTGTTTCCTAATTCTCTTTTTAGCTTAATCAACTAGTTGAGATAAATGATTAAAAAAACTTAGATGAGCTAAATGGTTTGTTAAGTTCAATCTTAATATTCTTGAAAAATATCATGTAAGTTTTATCTTGCTTTATTCTTTTTGAAGTTAATTATGGAGCTTAGCATACATAAAGATGGTAAACAGGCTACTCTCATCTTTCAATGTGGGTGCTCCCATTGGAATCTCCCTTTGTGTGTTTCTTTTCCAATTCTCAGCAGTCAGGTCTTGTGCATTGTTTTAAAAGGCTTAAGCCTATAGGCGAGGCACACAGATTTTTCCTCAAGCCTTAAGCCTCACACCTTTGATGTGAGGCTTAAGCCTTTGTCAGAATGAGGCATAAGCCTCAAGTATCAATGATTATTTAGAGATTTAATACAAAATATATTTTTTGCATTTTTATAGTTCAAAATATATGGAAGAAGCACTTCAGTAATTATGAGAAAAATAAATAAAAAGAGTAAAAATGAAAAGCTAATAGGGAAATCAAGTTCTATTAGTTTCTCATAGTGTTTTAGGAGAGTTCAATGCAAAAAGGGCCAATCAAGTTCTTAGTTTCCCTTGGATATATCAAATGATTTTTCTTATCATTCTAGATCTAACATCCCATGTTAGTTATTTTTCTCATTTCTTCTCCTAATGGATTTATTTTATTTTATTTTTTGCAAAAATCAAATTAACTAAGTTATTTTCTTTCTTTTAAACTATTGAATGACTAGAAGTCTAATATCCAATTATATGGATGATTCTTCATATGTTTTCTTTCTTCTAAATTGGTAATTTTAATTATTTGAGAACTTTGCATTTTGAGACATGAAATGTAAAGCGTTTATAATTGTTAGTTGATTCATTGTTATTTTATTTAATTCTTAACCAATGGAACTTATTGCTTATAAAATTTTATTTTATGGATATTTATATCTTCTATCATTCTAACTTGGTATATTATATGTTATTTTTATCAATTTATAAACTTTAATTAATTTTATTCTTAAGCTTTGAGGCTTAGGCCTCGCCTTTTTGGGCCATTATGCCTCAACTACACCTTTAGCCTTTTAAAACCTTGGTCTTGTGATCCACTTTTCAACTAAGGTTCAGTATTGGGTATTTTTAATTCTGTTGAATCTATATGATCTTGTGATTCGATGCAAGGTGAATATTCCAGACGGACAAAGGAGGATTAAGAAGAAAGTGGACCAGAGTAGTTTGGGAAGACTGGGATATTTGTCATGTAATATAAGCATGAAGGTAGACATGCTTGTTTGAGTTAACTGGACAATTCAATCTTGTCCATGTGGGTTTGCAACAGGGTGTAGATTGTGAAAAACTATCTTGTGACTTGGGCTGTGGATAACAAAATCCATCTTTCTTGTTTTAAACATTTCTGATGTCCAAGTATGCATATGTAGCATGTACTAGTCATTTTTTTAATTATAAATAATAATCATAACAAAATTAGGGGACTTTACTCATTGTGTGCATAAGTTTGATCTCTTATAAATACCTCAGTAATTCTGCCCGTGTTTCCTTTCTTGAGATCAGCAACAAGATTCCCATGTTCCTTCATCTGCTACTGATTTTGAATTTTCTTTCAACTTTTCAGCTTTCTGAAATTCATGAATTGATGGTTGAGGCGGCAAAAATACTAAACATTGAAGCTCCTGATTTGTACATTCGCCAAAATCCTGTACCCAATGCATACACTCTAGCCATCAGTGGTAGAAAACCATTTGTTGTTGTGCATACAAGCCTTGTGGAGCTTCTGACCAGAAGGGAGCTGCAGGTCTGCCTTCCTTTTAATGCAGACATTCTTTTTTGGGTTTATCATTGTTTTTTTTTTTTTCCTTCCTTAGTCTTCTATTCATTTCTTTCTTTATATGATTACTGCTGTCTAGCTTTCTAAATATTTTGAATCTTTGTTTAAAGTTGACACACAATCTTCTGAAAAATCTTGCATGATTAACCCTAGGGAATAAATGAATGCAGCTTTCTAACTTCTATGTTTTTCCCCCCTGAGAGCATGACCCCTAATTTATTTATCAAAATTACTGAATAGGCTGTTTTGGCACACGAGCTGGGTCATCTTAAATGTGATCATGGTGTATGGCTTACATTTGCGAACATTCTTATGCTTGGTGCATACACTGTACCTGGTAGGTTTTCTGTTCATTTCAAAGAGTGGTGATGTAGGAAACTTATTCATCTTACATATAAAATGTTCTAAATGTCACTTGTATCTAAAAAAATGGTGAACACTTGAGGGGGTCTAGGACACTGACCAATCTTTCCCGGTTATGAATTATGACCAATCTTATTTAGTGCAGAATACATATTTTCCATTGAAAATATATCTAAAATGCTTGGATTTTCATCTTGAATTAATGTGTGCACATGTCGATACACCCATGCCATTGGCAGGGTTTGGTGGATTGATTGCTCAGAGATTGGAAGAACAGCTCTTTCGCTGGCTCCGAGCAGCAGAACTAACATGTGATCGAGCAGCCCTTCTTGTAGCCCAGGATTCCAAGGTATATATATTCTATACAAATTACATATTTAGATTACAAAATTTATCATTTATATTCTGTAGCTTCTCTGTTGGTAATCTGATTTTTGCGTTGTGATTCTACCAAGAGGTGGTCATTTCTGTTCTCATGAAACTAGCTGGGGGCTGTCCCTCCCTCTCTAATCAACTTAATGTGGATGCATTCTTGGAGCAAGCTCGATCTTATGACAAGGCTTCTTCAAGCCCAGTTGGATGGTATATAAGGTAACTCACACAATCAAAATATCATGCGAAGTTTGAGATAGTGAACAATGAGGTTTTGAAACTAACATGCTCATCTCATTTCAGAAATGCTCAGACAAGGCAGCTCTCCCATCCTTTGCCTGTTCTACGTGCCCGTGAGATTGACAAATGGTCAAGGAGTCAAGAGTACTTAACCCTTCTTAGACAGGCAACAGAGCTCAGTTCTGTTCAGAAAGTTTAGACTAGGCAAAGAGAGGTTGCAGCTTGAAGAGATCCAGATGATTTATGAAGGTGTGTTTCTTCAATGCTTCTGTTTGGCACTGATTTTGAGAATCTTGTGCTTTTAAGAAGTGAAAATTTCTCCATATTTTGATGGGGAAATGAAGGTCCTTTACTTACTATAAATTGTCCCATCTAACCCTAATCCAACTGTCATAGAGTGTTGAAGTTCTCCCCAAAAAAATAAAAAATGGAACGAAAATAAGAAAGAAAGAAGAAAAAAAATATATAGTTGCGAATTCTTATTCTGTTGTCATGCTTTTCTAATTGTTTTATGGTTATCCAAGATCATGCAATAGAATGATGGAATTCCTTTTTATGCATTCAATATAACACAATACAATGATGATGAAAGTCATCTAGTCTGACAAATTCTATGGTTTCTTTATTGCCGTCCAAGATGATGCAATGGGTTGGTGTTGAAGGTCATTTAATCTGTCAAATTCTGGTTTAGAACCTCCTATTAATGAAAGTGGCGTGTTCAACCCATTGCATGTGTGCTGTCCTTGTGGGTAATGATGGTCCATGTTTGTTTTATGTATTGGCAAATCAGTTGTAGGCGGTCCTTGTGGTTGGTGCTTCATTTTTTTCTCTGGTCATTTGTCATGCAGCTGTTTCCTTCTTGCTTAATCAAACACTTTATATGTTGTTTCTTCCTAGGCATTGGAGCACAGAAAAGGGGAATGCAGAGAACCAGTGCAGAATATGACACGTATAATTCTTATGCTTATAGCAGGACCATACAAGTACAGTATGGAAACAAAACCTTGGTGTGATTCATCCAGGTCTACTGGTATACTTAAAAGAGCAGAAGGATATTGGTTCTGAAAAGTTGTTGTATACTTGCAACTAGATGATTGTATGGTTTATATTATCTCTGAATGTATGATACTGTTTCTTAAATATACAACATTTGTACGGGGTACTCATGAAATATCCCTTGCTCGCTGGGAAGGAAGATTGCTGCAATGCAAATTATTTGGTAGTGCTAAATAACATGTGAGCCTTGTGAGACATTTAGTTCCTTTGAACGATTTAATGGCTAAAAACCAGGTTGCGACAATAGAAACTTGGCTTGGCTAAGGGTAATTGCATTGCTGCATGTTTTTGTGCTATCCTTAATATCATGAGTCCATGGATGATAAGTTGGCTAAAGGAGATATTTCATATTTCATGATTCTCAGTGGCCAGCCAGGGGGAATTCCTTTTTATTTTGCAGTTCCGTGCTTCTCAGCTTAAGAACTTTCACTCATGGAAGATACGCAGCAGCCAGCACCAGGCCCACCACTGAGAGAAAAGAAAACCTCAGAAGCAGAAGAAAATGGGTGGCCAGTGGGGAGTGATGCATTTCAGCAAAATTGAAGGATGAGAAATTTTCTTTTCCTTGATTACCAAAAAAAGGGATGAGATTTGATCGTATGATATTTAGTTTTCCTGCAATTGTAAGTGTAACTCAGTTTGGATCAACCTGTGGGTTTATAAAGTTTTCACATTTTATTTCAATGTTAAGGTAAAATTCAGACTTACAACTAAAGAATGATTTAAGAAATACCGATAGGACGGTCAAGCAATGATGAGCACATTTGAGCAAAAGCCAATGGAGACACGAATCCACTGAAGGGTCCGTTTGGAGGTCTAAAGGACTGAAGTTTTTGGTTACGAAACTGCTTTGGATAAGTTTTTTTTTTTTGCGGAAAAGTACGGTTGATTTCTGATTTTCACTGCAGAGCTATAAATATTCAAAATGGTAACAACCCACACTATGCACCAAGGCCGGCTTGTGAATTGGCATTAATTCTAAGCTGGAACCTATTCCAACAGTACTTTGAGCCTACAAATTTTGACCCTGGGCTGAATTGTCATTCTCCCTTTTTTAGGCTAACATCTAGTTGGGAGAGGTCAATAAAATTTCAACTCTTTTCTCATGTTGATTGATGGAGGTCCATCCCAAGGCCCATCTCACTATGGGGGCGGCAACCCATAGGATAAGGATAAGAATATGATCATTCAAGAAGATAATTCAAGAAAAGATAAATCATCCAAGAATTCAAGACTCATAAAGAATTTAAGAATTCAAGACTCACCAAGAACTCAAGGGTTAAAGACTCATCAAGAATCCAAGAATCCAAGACTCATCAAGATTTCCAATAATTCAAGATAATCCAAGATTCATGCATCAAGGGAGATCGGACGGTGGAGATCAAACCAAGAAGAGTTCGATCCTATCAGATTAGATGTTTGGATCTATTCTAGTTGTTCTTTCCTAGTTCTTTTACAACTTCCAGATGTATTATAAATACTGCTATTTTCCAGTTAATAGACACTTCAAAATTTCTTAAGATTTCTTCTTTCAATTTTTGCCACCTTTTCTCTCTCTTAGAGAAATCGTGTAGTTTCGCTAGCAACTAGCGTTCGCTTGGCACTCGCATAGTCAGCTCCAGTATTCCATTGCTTCCACGCTGCATCGGGTGGTATCAGAGCAGGGAGTTCGCCCAGTCAGATGGCCAACCAAGACGGTAGCAGTCGCAACCCACCCCATGACGGAGATCAGGGGTTCCCAGCTGTTTGGAGAGCAATCGAAGAATAGCATACGGCCACACGTAACATCGAACAACAGTTGGCAGAGATGGCTGAACAACTGCGAACCCTGTTACGGGAGGTTGTTCCACGGAACCGGGAAAATCCACATCAGATCGAAGGAGACGACCACGACAGACCACCCGTCAATACTGCGTTCCAACGTCCAGTTCTTGACGACGACAGTGAAGATGATTTAGAATTTTGTGGTGCTCCAGTTCTTCCCGGCAACGACAAAAACGACAGAACTTGGCACAATCAAGGTAATTTCCATCCCCGTAGGAATAATGATGAATTTAAACTCAAGGTAGATATTCCTACTTTTAGTGGAGATCTTGGCATAGAAGGACTTCTAGATTGGATCACAGAAGTCGATAGATTCTTTGAGTACATGGAGATACCAGAGGAACGAAGGGTAAAACTGGTAGCTTTCCGATTAAAGGGAGGCGCATCTGTTTGGTGGGAACGCCTAAGAGAGACCCGGATCAGAGAAGGAAGGGGTTCTGTTCGAACCTGGAGGCGCATGAAACAACTTATAAGAGGTAGATTTTTACCCCTAGATTATGAACAATACATGTTTGAATCTTACCAGCGGTGTGCGCAGGGTTCTCGTAGTGTTAATGAATATACATCTGAATTTTTGAGATTAGCTGAAAGAAATCAATTATCTGAAAGTGATAACCAGCAGGCAGCCCGTTATCTAAGCAGTTTGAGACCGTCCATCAGAGACAAAATTAGTGTACAGATGGTTCTTAATGTGCAGGAAGCAAGGAACCTAGCCTTGAAAGCAGAATTGATGTTCCAAGATAAGGCACGTAATGATAATTATTGTTGGTACAGCGGGAGCGACAACAGACCGGCAACTGTTGATAGGAACAAATCAGTCCTGGCCGTTCAACCTTCTCACCCGGCAAGTACAGCTAACGCCGGTAAGGTTGTTACAGGAGGACATACTCGAGGTAACCCTTCCAACCCTCCTAAACCCAATAATCCCTATGCAAAGCCTGCTCCTATTAAATGCTTTAAATGTAATGAGGTTGGACATAGATCCAGTGAYTGTCCCAGGAGGAAGACAGTTAATATGGTAGAAAGGGAGGAGGAAGTATACTGTGGACCTGATGGGGAAGATGAAGAGGGTCCATACGAACATGAAGAGTATACCTGTGTTGTGAGAAAATTAATGTTGTCCCAGAAAAATAAAGATACTTCTCAAAGGCATAGATTGTATTGTACTAGATGTACTGTCAAGGGTAA